TTTTTTTTTTTTTTTACCCTTTAATTTTAGAAAGAACCAAAGTAATAAGATCTGTATTGAATTAACATAATGTAAAATCATTCATGGGCTCTCAAGCTACGAAATCACTTATTTGGACATGATTGAACATTTTTTTAAGGCACTGGGAGGTCTTTGTTTATGCTGAGTACAGGGAAGGGAGTTCACAGAAATAACCACATGTGTATAGTTTGGAGAAAGGACTCACACCCTGTATTCTGCCTGGGAATTTTCTAACCAGTAGTTTTACTTAGTTCCAAAATGATTTACAGTTGACCATCATGATCATGGATGCCCAACAGTATTTGTTGAGACCTCTCTTATGAATAACATTCTGCTTGGAGTCTGGTTGTTTGTATATTTGTCTTATGTCTACTACAGACTGCTGAGTCCTCAAGAACGAGGACAGAGCTCACTCATGCGTGCATCTCTCACAGGGCTAGTGCTTTACAGGTACTAGGTGCTTAGTAAAATGTTTAAATGAATTTATTCGGGAGGAGAATGAATGGCCTTCTGAATTGAAGATGTCAAATTGTAAGTGAGATGCAGTAGAATTTGTGTTATGTTAGCTCCACTTGAAACTTTCAAGAGTTATTCATTCAAATGTATTGTAGATGACATTTCCTAAATTCCTTACTCTGCCAGCTCCCTGGGTACCCTTTGATCTTTCCTACCAACCATCAGGGAACCTGGTCTATTAAAATATTTGACCATCTATTCCTTGACAGGAGAGGAGAGTTTCTTTTTTGAATTTTCCCTGTGCGTTTTAGAATTGAGGATTTTTTTTTTTTTTTTTAAGAGAGAGTGTGAGGGCAGGAGAGGGTCAGAGGAAGAGAGAGAGAATCCTTCAGTAAGCTCCAAGCTCAGTGCAGGGCCCAAATGGGGGGTTTGAGACCATGACCCGAGCCAAAACCAAGAGTTGGATGCTCAACCGACTGAGCCACAGGAACCCAAAATTTGGGGAAATTTTATCCTTATTGTAGAGCATTTACTGATTATCAGATGACAGTTCATGAGCACGTACACACCCATGCGAGTGTGCCCCATGTGTAAAATAAAAATCACATCAACCAATACTTGCCTGTGGACAGAGGCATTTACGCTCTAGAAATCTTGTGAGTCTGAAATGAGATTATGTTAAAGTGGCCAGGTCAAAGTGCCTTATATGTGGGACTAGAGTTTATTATCTAGACTTGGGCTTTGCTCAGTTATATACTATTCTCTTTTTTTACAGTTTGATAAAGATCTTTTGAAAGCAATTTGACTGATAACT